GAGCGAGGAGGCAGATGAGCGTCTTCATCATTTCTACGAAACAGAAGGTAACCACTACGAGTTAATTCACTTACATTGAGATCTGTGCGAACAAGCTGCAACCCTTCGAATGAGGGTTACGAGAAGTTGGAATGATTAGCGTACTTCTGCTTTCTACATATATATGCATTCGTGTGAGAAGCCTGATGCCATGATTGGTGGAAGCAGGGGTGTGTCAATCGATTCATTGGCACATGGGTGTGGTTCACTAATAGATGTGCTATGTATTTGGTAAATATTTGCAGTACGAATTTCCAGCTATAACCATGGCTGTTGCAATTTATGCGATCAATTTTTTGCTGAAATGCGGGTTGTGATAATAAGAACATGCATGTGGACATGACAACCGTAAAACGCCCAGGGTGCTTCACTGTGCCAGTTAAGTTCCAATGTCGACAGCCATTGTCTCTTCCTTATATTCAGCATCAAGCCGACTTCTGAAATATGCTCAGGTCAAACAATAGGGCAGCATGTCATGTCAGGTCTGTGGAGGAGTGAAATTCACGAAGTAAATTACTTCAAGTCCTCACGTTAACAGATTTCCACGTGACAAAACAAATATTCCTTCCCGCTGTGTACGCATTACCGTGAAAATGCGACGTCGCCCATCTTTACCAGAAATTGTGGAGTTGTTATTTGTGAACAATGAGTTCCCACTACTGTAGCATTTTGGCGACCTGCGAGAAATTCCCTGGGAAAAATGCCCATTTGCAAATACATCCTGATCAAGACTTTGCACTACACTCATTTAAAACAGCCTCGATGCACTTCGCTTAGTTTAAGGCTGCTCTATACCAGACTCGCCAAAGTTGCATTCAAACCGGTCCTTAGACGTGTGGCCAGTGCGTTAAAATAGCACACTTGTATTATCTCCACCAAGAAGCCTCTCGTCGATGTAAGAATGAGCAGTCAGGCAGATCAAGCGTACTTCTCAACCGTCATTGTAGGTTGGATTTCATGAACCATGGCACAATACAAAGTGCCACAGAAATGAGACAAAGCTCCTATGTCCTTCTTTTCAAAGTCATGCGTAGTCAAAACTTGCTTAATAAAAATTTACCGATTTGTTCATGCAAGCACATGTGGTGTGAGCATATGATTAGGCAATGCGACACACTTACTACCCACTGGGTGATTCGAAGTGCCTTATTGTCATTTCATGTGAGCATTGCAGATTGAGAGATTTCTTACATTCACCCATAATTTTATAGGTTCAATGGGTCAGATTAAATGCTAAATTGTGCAATGATTGCAGTTCATCCGCCATTCCAGCATTCAAATATCGTTCAGTTGAGTAAGATTTTGCACGAATCCGAACCCAACTGATCACGAAATCCGCCCTTCACAAAGGTGGCGATTATTTGATCGGAAATTATGAAAACCCATGCGATACTTAACTGCGTGTCTTAAACACTTGCAAGGAAGGACAAGATGAACTGGAAGGGTTATATTCAGTCTAGCATTCTTTAAAAGGGCAAATAGGTGCTCATTGATTTGATTTGTCTGGTAATTTTGTCTGTCAATTTTGCAATTGAACGTGGTTCACTGAACGCAGCTAAAAATAGCAACCATAATGGCACTAGTGGTATGGCACATAAGTACAATTGTGTATTTCGGGGTCACTTGAAATGCCTTCGTTAAGTGTGTTTAACGCGGCTCATGTGAGTTCAACTTTGGGCGTGAGTGTGTGTGTGTGGGCGCTTGGCCATGACGATTGCGTTCTTCAGAATTTGGTGGACCCGTCACACCCAGCTAATCTCAAGAGGCCAAACTAGTAGATTAGAGAAGAAATATTATTTTGAGTTGCTCAATCTCATGTACACGTTCTTGACGTTTACTTTGTCCGCATGTGGACAATTAAGAGAATATGTCCACATGCATCTTCATAAAGTACAATTTCGAGTCGGTAGGCCGATATTTATTCCGACGAATTTCTGTTTCAATTTGAGCAATATTACACCTAGCGGATCATCACAAAATTGCTAAAACTGTGTTGAGACGGCATATGACAATAACTACCCAAAAAAGCTGAAGTCGGTGGAAGGACAGAGTGTCAAGCGTGTATTGGGGAAATTGACGAAGCCGTGGCAGTGTGTGTGGTTTGCGCGTGTGTATTTGTAGTTCGGATGTGCGAGTCAAAAAAGCGCTAGCATCGAGACCTAGGCGTGAGGAAAATCCAAGGTAAATATCCGTGCGAATGAAGGGGGAGTTGAGGATGCGCGCGACTGGCGACATGCTACGAAACGAGGAACCCTGTGTAGCAGGTGGGGAAACCGAATTACGGAGTTGAAAAACATGATTCACACCTGCTCTCCCCTTAGAAAGAGGATTTGGCAAACCTTTTCGACCACTGCAGTTTTTGAAATGTTGGCCGTATGTTTCGCATGATTCGGATGTGGCTGTCGATGTTGGTCGTACTGAGAAATCTTTTCCTTAGCCAGATACTTCAGCCACCCTTTTCTTCCAATGCGGATTCTGGAAGGTAGACCGTAGGTTTCTGCAGTCGAAATGTGGCCCATGAGGCAACGTTGATGGTTTTGGAATTCGTTCGAGATGAATAGCAGAGGCTCAATATCTTCAATTTGTTAAGCAAGCGGCTTTTACGTAGGCAATATCATAGACAGCACAAAGAAGTTATTATACACACTTCACTCAAAATACGTTACGATTTGATTACTCTAACCTAACTCTATTGCTTCAAAAATAGGAAATTTAAATAAAAGAAACCAGCATAATTTATCTGTTTGATTGAATCATTTTATTCTGCTTGCAGTGCAGCAAACGCAGCTGTAAATTGCACGCATAGTGGTACTTCTAACCCACTCTGGGAGGTGTGGTACTTGGGCGCTTTCGACAATAAAGGTACAACGCTTCAAATGACTTCTTCAACTCAGCTGGACAGGCCTCATAAAAATTCAAGCTTGTAATTGGGAAGGACAGTTGAATGGGACTTGTGTAATTGGTTCGTTGTTGTACAACACAAGTTGAACTCAGAGACAAATACTCGCAAACGTCGGTGTTTAAATTTCGCAGGATATTTTAATTATAATTTAGACTGTCTACTAATAATAAATGAGTACATTATTCAATTTCATCACAAAATGAGAAAAGCTATCCTTATGTAGACAACCTATCCGCGTTCTACCATGTGCGATCAAGTTAGGATTACTTATTAAAAAATTTGCAAAATAAGATAAAATTGTATTTCTCCAAGTAAATTCATTTGCACTGGGAATAATTATAATTTTTTTTGGAATATTTACGGATTTTTTTTTTGCATTGGACCGAATTTGCTTTGATCAGTAAAGACTCGACAGTTGCAAATTGTGCAACAAAACGTTTCTAGACATGTAATCAACAAAAGACAGCGCAATCAATGCAATAAAAACTTCTATGCATGCTGCACGCAGAGGAGTTCACGATTTGATTATTCTAACCTGATGAAAAAAATTAAAAAAATTATTACAGTAAAACATAAAATGTTGCTTTACACGTTGATCAACAAATGCAATAATTCCAACAGTTACATCTGTTACGTTGGAATGT